CCTTTGGGACCGGTAATAATTGAAGATTTTTAAAAAAATCTATTTTATGGTGATTAATATTTAATAAATTATTAGTACTGATCGGGCTTCTTCTCCCGACCGGGGGGGTATATATATATATTATATATTAATTTTTATTATCAAATGGATCATTTTTATCTAGTAATTCTTGAACTCCTTGAGTAATTTCTTTACCATTTTTTTTTTTGTTCAAAATAATCCATTACTCTTAATCCTTCTTTATAAGATAAACCTGTACTTGTTTCAAATTCTGTTATTTCAACATCATTTAATTCTTTAAATCTATTGTAAATTGGAGAAACAGGCTGTACCACATCTGTAATACCCAAAGAAACTAAAAACATATTCATTGCATTGTCTAAACCTGTCTGACGGATAGCATTTTGTAATTTAGGAATGAAATAGGGTGCTTTACCATTTTCCACAAGACGATCATCTAGTTCATGACATAAAGCATAAGTCATACCAGTACCAATAGTGATTTTACCCACAGTTCTTACACCAGCTACACTACCTTTTAACAAAGTTACGAATATATCTACTGGTGAATTTCTAACTATAAATTTACCAGTTAATAGATAATGAAACCATTGTTTTACAGCAAAATAAGCAATAATATATTTATATATAATATATAAAAATGATACCATATAATTTATATAATATATTATTGGATTAAATTGTTTACTTAAACCTATTATAATAATAAAAATACTTAAAGGACCTATTATTCTTAATATTTTTATATATATATTTTCTCTCTCTAATTTTATTAGATGATCTGGTAAGATTGGTAAATCCCAACCTGATTTAATACCAAACCAAATTCTTTGAGATAATGTTTTATTTTTTTCGTTCATTTTAATTTTTTTTGTTTTTATAAATTTAGAAGAGAAATATTTAAATATATCACTATAAATTAGTTATTATAAAGTAAATAAGATATAAAGTAGTGCTCTTAACTACTTCATAAATGAAGGGGGAAATCAAGATAAAATTAAAATATATGTCTATTTTCTTGTGTATTTATTTAATTTAAGAACTAGTCAAATAAATCACAGCTGCACTAAATATAAAATTAGGTTAAGAAATGTAAATAAATAAAGAAATAATATTTTAAAAAAGGGAAGAATATGGTTAAATAAAAAGACGTTCTATGGCGCAACCTGATATTATAGACACAAATTTAAAAATTCAAAATTCGATTATCCTATCATAGAGGTAAGGAAAAACTGAGCATGGGCCGTAATATACCCCCCCGCCCGATCCCTGTCAATAAACTGTTTTTTTATAAACAAAAGGAGTAAAGGAAGAGGGGAGGGGAAGGGAAACAATTTACTACTTTAAGCGTAAGTCAAGGCTGTCTCAGTCAGCTTTAAATAACAAGAGCGAGGTGATTCGAACACCTACCAGTGATTTTGGAGATCGCCATACTAACCAATTAATACTACGCCCTTTAAATTAAAAATAAAAATAATTTAATAAATATTATATAATATATAATATAAATAGTATATACTATATATATTATTTAAAAGAGTTATTAAATTTTAAATTTTTTATAACTCTTTTAAATTTAGGGCCCTTAGCTTAATTGGTAGAGTACCTAGTTGTCGATTAGGGTGGTCCCAGTTCGAATCTGGAAGGGCTCGTAAAAATAATATTTATTTATTAATTAAAAATATATAATAATAATATATTTATTACAGTTAGTATCATTATAAAAATTATAAATATAAATAAAGATTAAATAATTATCCCTCCGCTCCTCCGCTCTTCCTTTTTTAAATTAACCCAAAGGAGAGCTAGCGAAGAGTAATATATAAGGAGGTATAAAGGTAAATTATAACAAACTTACTAATTATCTTTACCGCCAAAGCTACCCTTTCCCTTTCCCCTTATTCCTTTTGTTTTTTCTGTGTTTTTAATTAAAAAAACAATAAAAAGGACAGGCTGCCTCGCGGCCTCGGTTTGGTCAGGCCACCTGTATCTAACTATACTTTTATCTAGTGGTGTGGTTAAAATAAAAAATTAATTATGAGTATAATAATAAGAATGCAATCATTAAAGAGAACAATCTGATTAATTTTTATTATTTAAAATAATAATGCAACATTAAAAAGGAATAAAATTTATAATTATAATTTACTTTTTCTTTTTTAAGATTAAGAGCGTTTAATTGTAATAACATATCTACCTCTAAATGGTTTTTTAATATCTTTTTGTTCTCTTCTAAATAAAGTACTAAGGTGAGTATTTAAGCCTTTAACCGCATCTCGTATTGAATCGTATATTACTGTTTGATTTGTTTTTAAATCCAATACTTCTACTTCTATTCCAGGTCGAGGTTTGTTAGTTCGATTAAGAGCAATATATCTTAGGTTTGCTTTAGTCTCTTCTGAGTGAGTTTTACCAAAAAATGAACCATTTTCACCTTTACGGTTGTCGCTCATTGCTTTTCTTACTTCTTCTGAATGTTTTCGTCCTAAAGCTTTCTGTCTGATTAGTTCTATACTTTCAGTTGAGTGTTTAAAACCTTTAGACGGCCTTCGGCCGGCTGTTTTCAATATATTATATTCTGGTTTAAGTTCATCTAACCAATATTGTTCTCTAGATAAAGTATCTTCATTTTCAGTAAAATCTAAGATAACTAATGCAAAATTTCCTAATCCATATTTAAGAATAGCTCTAACAATTACTAAATTTGCTCTATCTTTATAGTACCAATCTTGAAAATAGTCGTTTAATCTATTATTTAGTTCAACACCGCTTCCAATGTAGTATTTACCATTCAACAAGTTAATCCAACAATAAACACCCGATTTACCTTTAGTATCTTTAAAAATATCCAAACGCTGTGAGATTGGATTTAAGTAAGTTTTTTTAGCATAAGTAGAAAAGATGGGTAATTTTAGAGAAAAAGAGTTATTACAAATAGTTGTAAAGTTTAATTTATAAATTTTATTTATAACTTTTAAAATGGGGGTATGTAAAAATTTTAATATTGTCATTATGAATATAATAATAAGAAACAAATCATCAATGAAAATAATCCAGTAGCTTCTGCTAAAGCAAATCCTAAAATAGCATAACTGAATAATTGTCCTTTTATTTGAGGGTTTCTAGCAGTTGAAGCGATAAGTGCAGAAAAGATTAAACCTATTCCTGCTCCTGCTCCGATTAAACCAGAGCAAGCTAATCCAGCTCCTAAATATTTAGCTGCGGCTAACATTTTAATACAATAAATATTAAATTTCAGATAGTGTCTAACATATGAAATAATTATTTAAATAAAATAAATTAAACATACTCTTTTAATAAAATATTTTATATTTTTATATATTATAAAAGAGTTACATACCTGTATGTTAAAATATAAGAGGTCTTTTAGTATAAAGGTCGTACGGCTACCTTTCAAGTAGCAAGTATCAGTTCAATTCTGATAAAGATCAATTAATTAAATATTTAAGGAATAGTTTACATAGGTAAGTTAAAACGATTGCTAATTGTTCGGGTAACACCCTTAGGGGTTCGACTCCCCTCTATTCCGCCACTACAGTTTTTACTTTAATATAATATTATTATAATTTATAAGGATATATTAAATAATAATATTTTTTAGTAAAACTAAAAAACTAAAATTATAAATAAAATATAATCTATTACCGTCCGCAGGCCGCTTACCCTGGTAATTATCCAGATACAGCAACCTGTTTCCTTTTTTAGAATAAAAAAAGGACAGGGAATGCGGGTCGCGCCATGCCCCTGGCGGGAGGGTACCGGAGGGAAATATTCTAATTAAATATTGTAATCTAAATAAGCAAAAAAAAGTATCTATAAAAAATAAAAAAATAACAATGTTCGGAAATCAACAATATAATATAATAAATTCACCCTTAGAACAATTCGAAGTAACAAGTTTACTAGGATTAAACGCACCTATTTTAGGATATTTAAATATAAGTTTAACTAATCTAGCCTTATATTCATTATTAGTATTATTTATAATAGTATCATTACACTATATGGCTAATAATGACACTAAATTAGTACCTTCAAAATGGTCTATAGCACTAGAAAGTGTATTTGCAAGTATAAACTCAATGGTAAGAGAACAATTAGGTAAAGAACTATACTTACCATTTATATACTCATTATTCTTTTTCATATTAATTGCTAACTTAACAGGTAATATACCATATTCTTTCACAATAACTACATCAATAATGGTGTCAATTGGTTTATCTTTCACTATACTAATTGCAGTAACAATTCTAGGTTTATCTATTCATAAATTACACTTCTTCTCATATTTTGTACCTTCTGGTACACCTCTAGCATTAGTACCTCTATTAGTTTTAATCGAATTAGTTTCATACCTAGCAAGAGCTTTCTCTTTAGGAATAAGACTTTTCGCAAACATGGTAGCTGGACACACATTAATGAAAATATTAGCAACTTTCTTATATCAAATGTTTAGCGGTAGCTTAATTGTAGCAGTTTTAACTTTAATTCCATTTACTCTATTTTTAGCTATAATGGGACTAGAATTAGCAGTATCTTTTATACAAGCTTATGTATTTGTAATACTAACATGCTCATATATTAAAGACGCTATTGAATTACACTAATATTCTAAAGGCCTTAGGCTGCTTAAGCCTAATCCTAAATAAAGTTAATTAAAAATTATCATAAATTACTAATAACCCCCCCCC